TAGTTTAGTTTAATTCGCTAAGTATTTATCTAACAAATTTGTTGGATAAAAGCACAATAAAACGCAAGAAAAACACTAGTCACTAGTTAATAAAACTGATTTCTGGTTGAGTGGCTTATCATGTTATTACAATAAGCCCTTATTATTTTTACATGTTTTGAATAAAATTAGAACGGTACTGATAAACCAGAATTTAAGTCAGCTATTTTAGGTCCCCATTGGCTCACCGCTTCACGGCTGTTTTTTGATATGCTCCTTCCTTAAGAGTCTATTAAGCTGTACTTTCGGGTCGCTCTCAGATCCTGTCGTGTTAAGCCACACCCTAAATTCCAAACACACGTGCTTTGATTAAGGCTTGATTAAGGTTTGCAGAACTTCAGCATTTGCCATAAAATAGCGAGCAATTTGTTACAAAACCATATAAATAATTATATATCATTATAAACACAAAACTTCAATCTATTTCCGTATTGTAAAGGAATTTTAAATGATGTCTTTATTTTCGAGAAAATTGTGTCCAAATATAAGGAATATTTTGTTGATGATTGACCATCAAAATCTCAAAAATAAAGAAGTTGTCTAAACATGTGCTACAATACGGATATAGCATAATCCTTTATCTTTAATTTCCTTGTTCATTTGTGTAAAAATACCTAGCCAGTTTTACATAAAACGTTAAATGCTGAACGCTTATTTCGCTACTTTTTCGAACTAGTGAAATGGACTCTTAATCTTTTTATTCAAAGTCGGAGGCAAAACCATTATCATATAGGAATCGAGTTTGAGCGATTGCCAATCTGAAGATCGGAAATCTCATGTAAATTTTAACTATTAGTAAAGTTTCCGTTTTTATTTTAGATAAAAATTGATAACATTTTTTAAAAGACATATTAAAATTAAATAAATTCTCCGTTATGATTAGTTTCTACGAAGTTTTAATAAAATAAATCGTAAACCTTTATTTTACATAACTGAAACTTGACTTTTTGTTTCAAAACAATTTGCTTCATATTAACGAACAGTTCAAACATTGTACAGGGTGGGTCAAATTCGACGCTTTTAAATGGAAACACCCTTTTCTATAGGAGATAGACGAAAACTAATATCGGTGTCTGGAGCTCAATTTTCATCAAAAACATGATGGTGAAAACCGCACATCAATATCTGTTACCGTTTCGGTGTTAAGGGGTGTTTTTCAAAAATGTGCATTTTTAACAAATCGCTGTAACTTTTTTACTATGGAAAATTTTGTATTTCTATGAAAACAATTCCAAAGCACCTTTTTACGTAGAATTTAATGGTTTAAGTATAATTTTTTTAAAATTAATAGTTTAAGAATTATCAACAGAAAATTTGATTTTTATACGTGACACCCTGTATATTTTTAATTTATTGAAAATAATTTAAAATTACCTTTCCAAAAATATAACACACTTGATATTTTGCTCGATTCCTCTTCGAGATATAGAGTATATAAAAATTCGCCCGCTTTAAATAAGTAGGCTTTGAACGGCACCGGCTGTAATGCAAAAAAAAATCTAGCTGTGAGCATCAATTAAAACGAAAATAATATTTGCTATGAGAGACGCAGAATTCTATAACAATTTATAACATTTTAAAATAATTTTAACCAACATCAACACATTTAAACTATATCTAATAACAATAAAAATAAATAGCAAACCAAGATATGAGATTTTGCTACAGGTGTTTGACTTATCGACAGTCTTCTGTTATGGACAGACCGGGCAGTTTTTGAACATTTCTCGCGGAATTCATTAACTCGGTGGGGGTGAAAGATACCCTCTCATAACTGCTAAGTATTTCTAATTCTTGTCTAGATTATACGCAAGAATAAGGAACTTTTATTCTCCCGCAAATATATCCATAGGATTAGATCCATGGGCACTAAGTCAGGCGGCCTCGATGGCCAACGGCTGGGATCTTGGTTAGCTCTTCAATTATTCTTGAAATTGGCTGCAAAAATTTGCTGATAACTTCAGCGTTCAGAGACGGTGCGTCGCCTTGTTGGAAAAATATGTTTTCGAGTTCCATTAAGGGCATATCATCAATACGGGGTCCAAAGCTTACCAGTTAAAAGTGGCGAACTTTTAAAAATTCTGTATTTCGAAGGGGATTATAACAAAATATCAAGTGTGCTATATTTTTGGAAAGGTAATTTTAAATTCTTTTCAGTTAATTAAAAATATAGGGGGTGTCCCAAATAAAAAATAAATTTTTCTGTTGATAACTCTTAAATTATTAATTTTAAAAAAAGTATACTTAAACCATTAAATTCTAAGTAAAAAGGTGTTTTGGAAATGTTTTCATAGAAATACAAAATTTTCCATATCAAAAAAGTTACAGCGATTTGTTAAAAATGCACATTTTTGAAAAACACCCTGTAACTCCGAAACGGTAACAGATATTGATGTACGGTTTTCACCATCATGTTTATGATGAAAATTGAGCTCCAGACACCGATATTAGTTTTCGCCTATCTCCTATAGAAAAGGGTGTTTCCATTTAAAAGCGTCGAATTTGACCCACCCTGTACAATGCATCAAATATACATCACTTGAAAAGACTACGATGTGGAGTTCACAGGAAGAACTATTATACGGATTAACCAGTAAGCCACAGTCTAATGAAACGGGTCTGTTAATTAACTTATAGCCTCATCAAATGAGCTTCTAGAGCACCGCACCCTTCGCATCGCGTCTCCTCGAATTGGTAACGCCTACTTTGCCAACAAAAAAATAATTAAAAAACGAAATGCCCCGTCGAAATTAATTATGTTGGTTTTGTTTCTAGCTCCGAGAGAGAAAATTAGTTCCGCCCTGAGCCACCGCTGTGGATTACGAGCCGAAAAAGAAAGGACTATCTTCCTTTATATTGCAGGCGGTGACTGAAGCAGTTTGGATTCATTAAAGGTGGGATATTCTTAATGAAACAATGTCATTTTGTTAATATAAATTATTACTTTCTAATCTTTATACTACAAAAAATCCGGTGTGTGATAGATTTTGGATGAATATATTATTTCACCTATTTGAAAGATGTGAAAAAACATTTAGTTTGTGATTAGATGTGAAAAAACATTAGTTAAAACGGGTGTTTGAAATACTTAAATTCACTTTTGAAATATCCCGTGCCCGTGCTTAAAGAATAAGAAATATGTATTTGAAAAAATACATCGTAATTTTATACTGTTGGGTGGAACAGGTGTAAGAAAATTCGAAATTTATTACCTGAAACTAATGAACCGTCTAGAGGAAGCTGTAACCTACAGAAGTAACAAATGGAATTCTTTAATCGTCTTTCAGATTAGGTTTGTAAACGTTTTGTCATAGTCGGTCACAAAAGTTGAGGTAACTGTTTTTTATTCGATATTCAGTAATCATATATTAATATCATTAGTGTCAACGTAAATAAAGAAAACAGTGGTTACTTGTTTTAAATGCAACTTATTTATTATAAAAAAATATATTTATACCTAAGTATCTAAAAATTGTATTTTATGTCAATTGAGCCCTCGGATAACTCTATATGTATTAAGCTGCCAATTAAACTAGCGTTTTGATTAGGTGAAATTAATCAACTTTTTTAGCCGACCATACCAACAGGTATTATGGTAGGCTATATCGGCAAAAAAAAAGTTTTTTTTAATTTCACTCAAAATGAGTTATTTGTGTCATAAATGACCTAAATACAAAATATTTTCATGCTGTCTGTCTGTCTGTCTGTTCGTCTGTTCATCTGTCCGTCTGTAACACGATAACTCAAAAACCGCTAAACCGATTTTAACAAAATTTGGCACAAAAATACTGTAGAACCCGAGAATCTGGCCGTTAGTTTTTGGTGGAGGTGGGGGGTTGGTAAGGAGGTATGGGAGGGGGTTAAAAATTTTAAAAAATCGTAACTCCAAAATTATAGTAGCTAGCGAGACGTGGTTTTCAATTTAAGATTAGGAATAATATTTGCAACAAAATTTGTAATAACATTAAAATCAGTCAAAGTCGCAGTTTTTGAGATAATTGATTATTAACATATTTTAGTATGGGCGGCTATACGTAGAAGGCACGTATAGCGCCATTTCTTGTTACAAAAATAAACCTAAAACAATATACTAATCTTACAGATCCATAGAACTTACTAGTAAATTAAAATGAGTTAACCAAAGTGTTGCGTTTTTTAAAATGAGTGATTCTGAAGAAGAATATTTTATCTTCAAATTCTGCAATATGTTATATTAAGACATCATCTGTAAAAAAGACACGTATTATACAGGGTGTTTCAAAAAACATGTGCTATCTCTCGGGAGAAGATCCCTCACGTAAAAATAAGATTTATTTCTTATATCAACATAGGTCCGATTCTGCGTTGTTTCTTAGCTATTGGGGGTTAAAGTGTTTTATTTTTTTGGATATATTGTAATTTTCTTCCAAGTGTGTAATTGTTATCAGGTAGGAATTGTTAATTTTGAAGTTTAAGTTGATATAATGTCATTTTAACAGAACGTCAACGGTTTTTATAGACGTATCTGGTGAAAAAAACTAAAATGTTCTTGAATAGTTGTTTTTAGATATTTTAAACAGTTTTTTTCTTTGTATTTTTTTTTGCTTCCGACGACGGGAAGAGATATAATTCCTGGAATGTTAACCATTTTTTTGTCCGTTAGGCAAATTTGTTTATTAGTAAATCACTGCTGACAAATTGGTCAGGTTGACAGCAGTGCAGCGTTTACAAAAAATAACTATTGTTTTTGTAGTTTTTTCTTTCAGTACAATTAGCGAAATACCCAATGCATTTTTCTTGAAGAGATGAAACAGACATATAGACATTTTCTGTCCCACGTTGCGCCCCCGTAGCTACGCCTTTTATGCACAAATAATAAAAACATACTACTTCACTCTGTATCGAATTAATGACACGTATAAAAGAGGCGCCGAAAAAATTCCAATCCTTTTAACAAAGCATTGTCTCGTATTTTTTCTTACCTTGATGTGTGTCATGCGATGGTAATAGAGGTTGCTGGAAGCGGTGAACCTTTTCAGACACACGGGGCACTGATGGGGCTTCTCTCCGCTGTGGATCCTCCGGTGCGTGTTCAAGGACGAGGACGTGCTGAACCCTTTGCCGCACACCATGCACACGTGAGGTTTTTCTCCTGGAATTAAAAAATGGACAATAAGTTGTGTATTTTAAATTTTGATTTAAATGATATTAAACATATAGCGGGTGGCTAAATAATCACTATACAAAAATAGCCAATAGAGCTAATCGATTGATTTTTATCGAGGCAATTTGAAATTTGAGTTCTAAATATACTTCTTATGAGGCATTGGTGGCATGTCGTGAGATTTGTGTCGACCTGTATTTTGAATTTAAATGCTTTGGATTCATTTAAAAAAACTTCATTTATTATTTTTATTAAGACTAGTATTGACTATTATTTGAAATTGTTTAGATAGTAATCTAAAATCACAGTGATGACATTAAATTAATAATAATATTTAAATGGGAACTACTAAAATTAAAAAGGAACATTCATTCTAATTTAGTCCATGGATACTAGTGCACGGTCTCATTGACTCCATCACATAATTAATGACCGCTTATTTATAATAACGAATTTAGTTCATCTAAATTTAAGATGGTCCAAGATTGATATAGTATTAGAAGATGTTACTATAGTTTTTTTTTTATTTTTGAATTAACTTGAGGACATAAAGAAAGAGCAATGGTAAGAAAAGCAACCAAAAATTAAGTAATAGTAATAGTTATATTTTTATTACTCCTCTTTTTGTAGTCCCGCAGTTGCATAAAATATACAGAGCTAGTCTTAAATAAGTGCAAATATTTTAGGGGTAGTATATTTTGATCCAGAAACACGATTATGAGTTTTTTCACGAATTTTTTTTTTAAAATAAGGAATTTTTCGAAAAAAAATTGGGATTTCTTCTAGTTTTTAGTTCTTCTTCTTGCGGTGCCGTGCCTGTCTTGAGGCGTTGGCGATCTCAATGACAATTTCGTTGAATTCCTAGACCGGTCCGGTCCCCAGTTCCGTATTTTTCTCAGCCATGACAGTTTCTTTCGACTTATCCATCTTCTACCTTCGATTTTTCATTGAATGATCAAACGAGGAACATAACATTTGGTGCCTCGCATTATGTGTCTGAGGTAGCTAACCTTTCTGGCCTTTATGGTGGTTACGAGTTCCCGATATTTATTTAGCTGCCAAGAACTTCCTTGTTGCTTCTATGTTCGATCCAAGAAATCTTAAGTATTCTCCGATAACACCACTTTTCAAAGGCTTTTGATTTATAGCGTCCATGTCTCTCATCTGTAAAGAAGAGTGTAATCGGGTTTGCAGTGACAGGTTTCTATTAGTGAGCGTGGTATTCCATTTTTAAATGTTCTATGTGCCATTTCAATTCTTGCCTTTACCTCTTCGTCACATGTATCTTCACTATTTAGCCAGCTTCCTAAATATCTAAAATGTTGTACTTGCTCATTATTGTGGCCACTGATTTTTATCTGGATTGGATTAATTTGTATTTACACGCAAACATCCATTTCGCATTCTTCATATTTATATTAATACCGCATTTGGAACTAGCGTCATGTACTCTGTCTAGCAGCGTTTGCAAGTCTTTTTTGTTTTTTTGTTTGCAAGTCTTTTTTTGCAGCGTTTGCTTTCTGCGACAATGGCGGTGTCGTCTGCGTACCTTATGTTATTTATGATTACGCCTCCAATTTTAACGCCTTCTGTTCTGCCGGTGAAGCCTCGTGAAAAATGTTCTCTGAATACAAGTTGAATAATACCGGTGACAAAACTCACCCCTATCTTACTCCTCGTTTTATTGAGATGTCATTTGTAGTTCTTTCATCGACCCTAACAGCAGTAGTTTGATTGTAGTATAAGTTTACTAAAAGGCTCATGTCAGGGTTGTCTACGTTATACGATCTCAGATGCCGAAAAAGCTTTATATGTTTGACTCGAGTTTTTAGAGACGAGTTTTTAGTTAAAAAACATTATTTATTTATTTATTTATTGAAAACAACTTAACAGATACATAGATCCTTTACAGTTGCGTTTAACTAAGCTAAACTAACACCACCCATTTATGGGTGCATATAATATATAGGTAGTAGATTAAATTTACAAGAAAGAAAATCCAAAAAAGTTCCAGTGGTTCTCAAAATTTGAACAAAAAAATTTTTTTTTTGGGAATTTTCAAAGTAAAATAACTGGGTTATTTTGGATTTATTTGAAAAACGGTAAAGAGGAAATATATTTCTTTTATCGAGATCCACCAGCCCTTAAAATATTTGCCTTTATTTAAGATTCACCCTGTAAATATGTCGTATAATATTGATAAATGTAGACGTCCAATAAAATGCACAATATAACCAAATTTTGAAAATAAATGAAGCAATCCACTATACCTCTCCTTCCAAAGCAACTATGGTTCAAAACTCATTTCTCAACATTTAGGTTGTTTAAAAGTTGACAAATATAAACCTGTTCTTTAATAATATCCCTATATAGATTTTCTCACCTTAATAGTAGCAATGTACAGCATTGTATACAAGTGCCGTCGGAATACTAAGGAAAGTAATGCGGCTAGCATTAAAATTTAACCGCATGTTATTATAGTCCGCCGATGAAATGCCACTTGAAGGATTTGAAACAACTAGTGCAAAAAATTAGTAGACATGAGCTGCGCCCCTAGCCTCCGGACACCAACTAGATAGAAAATTTGATAGGTAACCTGAGTTATAAGATTAGTTATGTTGAATAGTAGATCGACTAAATATGTGAAGACTATATGCATATAAGTAATCAGATAATGTTCCTCGAATATAATATAATATAATATATAATATCAATATTACACAACAAAAAAATCTTTAATATTTTGCCAACATTATGGATCCCGCCTCTGTTTGGTGTTAATATAAACTATTCCCGTCTCTTTGATTGGCGAAAAATATTTTTATGATTATGAATTACATTAGAAAATTGTGAAGAAACGCACATTTTAGACGATGATAGTTTGAACCAGTATTAGTTTATTTATGGCCTTTATAAAATGCTTACCCGTATGCGTCCTCATATGCCTTTTTAACAACGAAGGTCTGTCGAAGGCTTTGCTACAAACTCCACAGGGTAGTAACGTTCTTTCTCGCGGACGGGCTCTAGGCGTTGGCACGGTCGTTTCGGGTAGATCACCCTGTGAAGAAGCGGCAGACGAATCACCAGACACTGATTTTCGTTCGTCTTCGGCGGATGGCGGTGATCCAGAAAGTCCTCTGGAAAGGAGGGACATCGAGAGATCCAAAGGGGAATCTGTAATAAAAGAAGAATATAAGTAAAGCAATGTTATTGATAATATTTAAATTTTACTTGAGAAAGACAAAAAATAATTTTAATTATTTTATGATGATGTGGTTAGCGAAACGCAAAGTGTTTTGATGTATTGTGGAAAATTAGTGTTTTATATTGCTGTTATAATGTTTTAACGATAAGGAATATAAAAATTATCTTTTGTGGAAAGTGGAAACAGTAGTGGGAGAATTGTCAGATCAGGAGCTTGCAAACACCCTCAAAAGGAAATGCATTTTTCCTGCAACTCCTAGTGACATACCAAGAATGTAACTTTGAGAAACATCTCACTATAATGTTGAGTAATAAAAAGAATTGGAAGAGAGAAACGTTTGCTCAGCAGGTAGAAGACCGTGCCACAACGTGGTTTACTGATGCCGAAAACTGAGTTTACTGATGCCGAAAACTGCCAACCCAAACCAATGGATAACTTCAGACAAAAATCTACGCTATCCAAAGATACGTACAAGTTAGACATGAACTATCGGAAACAAGAAATAGCCATCTTATCCGATAGTTAAGCAGCCTTAAAAGCGACCAAGTCAGTAACCATCAATTCGAAGTTGGTCAAAGATTGCCTAGAGAAGCTGAACAAATTAGGCAAAGAAAATAAAGTTCTCCTAAAAACGATCTAGTTAAAAAGAGAGCGAACACTTCAGAAACTGGACCAGAACCGTTTTGCTTCACAAGTGGAAACCAACTTAAAGCAGATCTCACGAACCAGGTAGATTCCATCCGTAACCTGGAATGGGAATCCTCCAATAGTCTAAGACGCTCGAAGAAGTACAAATTATGCAAAGAAAATAAAGTCCTTCTACACTGAGTCATCAAGAGATAGAAGGTAATAAAAAAAGCAAACACTTTTGCTAGAAAATGAGCGAGCACTCCACTAACTGGACCAGGTGCTTCCAACTTAGAGCGGATCTCAAGAACCTGGAAGACTCCATCCGTAACCTGGAATGGGAAATTTCTCGGGACTTACGGTTAACAAAGATTTTCCTTGACATAAGTAAGAACAATCTTCGGATTGTCAAGGGTTTGTTAACAAGACACTGTCTCCTCAATGAACACCTCCGTAGATTGAATCTAAGAAAAAACGACGAATGTAGATTCTTTGGGGAAATTGGGGAACCACCAGAGCATCTCATCATTGAGTGCGCCGAAACAACAACCATTTGTGCGATAAACTTTGGTACGACTGATATCGGAGATGGAAAACTAATCTCGGTAGAACCGTCTCAGATACTGGCTTTAGTCAAATCCTTAGGCTGTGTAATGAGTTATACTTCAAGAAAGGGGTACATTAATTTCTCCCTTCTCATATAGGACTACATCAACATCTACATCGCTGTCTCCTGTTGCTATCATAAAAGTAACTTATTTAACGATCCCTCCAATTCAGGCATAAGTCAAAGACCTTTAAGCTATTGGGCTGGCTGTATATTTACATTAATTTTTTCCACTAATAATCGAATTCCTTCAAAAAACAATCCGCCGAAGATGACGGCCCAAAACGAACGGTCAATTACGCTTCAAGGAACAATAGATAATTTCACCGAGCGCCGTGACAGATTTATTAGGCATTTTGCACAAGTTAGCATTTTGATTGGCTTTAATCGAGCGCGTTGCGTGGTTGGTTGAATTTTTAGCGGCCGAGGCCCAACGAAAAAGGAAACGACCACTGGCCCCAAGAAAAAGGAAAAACGAGTGAAAATTGCCGGCCCTGGGAAGAAAAGGAACAGAAAGAATAGACGTGTATCATAAACGCCGACATTAAGATACAGACTACAAAAAAATATTTTCCACTTAAATATAATTTGTTATTTATGTCAGTAAAGCAATACCTACGAAATATAATATTAACACATTTTTAAGTCAATATCAGTTGCTGGCTCAATCTATCTATTCCAAACATAAAATTAAAAATATTTCTTGACACAGGTATACAAGGTTTAAGTACGCAAAAATCAGAGGGTGATTTTTTAAATATAAGTTTCATTCAGAACTTCACGAAATTAGTGGTTCCAAATTACAGAAATTTGTTCCTCTAATGTCAATGTAAGTGTTCAGGAGGTCAAAATTAGTGATAGTAATTTTCAATTAGTAGAGAAAGTTAATTAACTTTTGCATATATTATACTTCAAATTTGCTAGTAATGTCATTTTGACATTTGATTATCATCCGTCAAGAGAAATTGTAGTAAAAACATTAAAAGTTTATTGTTTTATAAGCTAATTATTAGGATTTATCTACGCATACAAAATGACCACCGCAAGCTGTTGGTAGGATATTCGTTATTCTATGAATTTTAATTGTATTTTTATAAACATTGTGACTGATCGTAAATTCTTAAGTAAAAATTATAATTGTACACACTAATTTATTCCATTAATTTGGAGGTTCTGAATGAAGCTTTATCATATAACAGTCAATTTAGAATCTTTTAGAACCTTACATATTGCTCTAAATACAGCACAAAATTCAGTATTCAGCTATCCTATTAGAATTATACAGTAAATTCGTAAAAAAAAGAGCAATAGGTGCTGACCTACATTTTCATATATAATTTGACATAATAACATCATCACATTACACTTTTTCGCATGATATCCGTGTGTGAGCAAATTTAGATAAAGTTGTATAATATTTTGACTGTTGTTACCCCATTGTGTTATAAATTTTGCAAAGAAATATAATTTTTATCCTCTAAATTATTAAAATTTCTGTAATATCTTTTTTTCAGACCAATAGAAGATGTTTTTTGCAAAAATGTATTTTGCAAGATCGTAGATGTTAATGTAAAATTACATATATCTTGACAAATTTTCGTACGTATATATTTTATTTTATTTATTTTATAAGATTATTAAATATAAATATTTTGAAACTAAAACATTTTGAAGTAAGTTGTCATAATAGAAACATTTTACATAACATAAAAAAGTTATTACATAGTCAATGTATAAAAAAATATTCTAAATTGCCTGTAAACAATTATTTTACAACGCTTTCTTGTTAATTTAAACTTGTTACGCTTTCATTGGAAATACTAATAACTAGACTATTATTTGTTTATTTAATAAATCAAAAAAAAAATTTCAATACTATCAGTAATTATGGCATGCTTAGATTCAATTTTACCGTTTTTATACGGCGAAAAATCGTTTTGTTAAACAACCGTTATATTAATACTCAGCAACAACGAATGAAATTATTCTGCTAATGGATTCGCATTCGTGTTTTTTTAACATCTCTTCATATTTGTTACGTTTAATTATTTATTAATATTTACATATTTTCTATAATAAATATTTGACAGGGAGAATTATCAGCTCAGGAGCTTGGCACACCCTCAAAAGGAAAATTCCACTTCTCCAACTCCCAGTACATACTAAGAATCTACAACTTTGAGACACACCTCACTGTACTATTAAACAAATAAAAATAAATGGAAGACACAAACGTTTGCTCAATTAAAACACCATATCATAACGTGGTATACTGATGTTTCCAAAATCAAAGCAGCATTGGAGTATTTGGGCCGAAAACTAAATACTTCGAATAAATGGGCACCTAACCCAGAATCCTTCAGGCAGGACAACTTGTCTTAGATATGAACTATCAGAAATAAGAAATAGCCATCTTATCCGATAGTTAAGCAGTCTTAAGAGCGATCAGTAACCATTTGGTCAAAGAATGCCTAGAGAAGCTGAAGAAATTAGACAAAGATAATAGAGTCCTCCTACTCTGTATGCCAGCCCACCAAGTGATAGAAGACAATGAAAAAGCAAACGATCTAGATAGAAAAGGAGCTAACATCAATTCCCAGTTGGTCAAAGTATGCCTGGAGAAGCTGAACAAATTGGGCAAAGAAAATAATGTCCTCCTACTCTGGATGCCATCCCACGAAGGTAATGAAAAAGAAAATGGTCTAGCTAGAAAGGGAGCAAACACTTCATTAAATGGACCAGAACCGTCTCTTCTTCCCAAGTAGAAAGCAACTTAAAGCAGAACTCATGGACCTGGAAGACTCCATCCGTAATCTGGAATGGGAATCCTCCAACGGTCTAATACATTCGAAGAAATTTATCAGGTCTTACAACCGTGAAAAATCAAAGATTTTCCTTGATTTAAGTAAGAACAATCTTCTGATTTTCAAGGGGTTTTAAGAAGTCACTCTTTCCTCAATGAACACCTCAGTAGCTTGAAGCTAAGAAACAAGGGTGAATGCAGATTCTGTTGCGAAAATGGGGAAATAACAGAACACTTCATCACTGAGTGCACCGAGACGACAGTCATTCGAGTCATAAACTTTGGTACGACTGATATCGGAGATGAAGAATTAACCTCTCAAAAAAACCGTCTCAGATACTGGCTGTACCATTTTTCGTTTTTATTTTACATATCGGAATATAGGGACAGAACTCAGAAGTGACACAATTTTTATTTTTTGGCGACTTTAAGAATGTGGTAGAAATGTAGCAGCAGGGGGTCCACCGAAACCAGTAAAATTTTGAAAGTGGCCCACGAGAAAAATAAGTTTGGGAACTACTGATCTACATCTACACTACGTCCTTTTAATGGCACCATACACAAAAAAAAATAATTCGTATATGAATTATAAACGTCTTAGAATTTAATAATGTATTCGTCTAAAATTACTCACCTTCTAAAATAGAATCCATTGTTTGTCTGTATAAACTGGCCCTCATCCTGACGAAAAACAACTCTTCCGGTCGTTCAGGGAGATAGTACACTAGGAGTTCCGTATCGGGAGGAATGGGTTTGACTGCCTCATACACAGGTTCACCTCGTACTTTGGTTGCGACGAAATTGACGGAAGGGTTGAAGGCGGAAGCTACTCGTATGAAACGCACCCAGTTACAATGCCGTACTTTGTGACCGTTGTTCGTGGAAATTTCATCATAACAGCCAAATCTATGACGTATCTGAAAAAGAAGTATGAATATAAGTACCTTCATTGAAATAAAATTAATATTTTATTTATAATGTGTTAAACATGTTCTAGGAATTTATCAGTAAAGTGTTTGCAACTAGCTTAAGGAAGGAACTTCAGGTAAAAATGATTTTGTATAATTTCTTTGATAAAATAATATCCAACATTTCGATTACTGTAATATCTGAAGTAAGTACCAGATTATAATTAGCAAAAGTATTTGTACCACCTGTTTTATTTGCATACTAGTCTGCATAAATCCAGTGGCTGTTATAAAGTGCAGATGTGCACGTGAAGCTCCAAATTTAATGCATCTACTTGAGCAAGAACCTAATTTAGATTTTATCGTTCTTTCATTAATTCAATTTATGCTAAAAAAAACGATTCGTCAGACTAGAAATATATACGCAAAAAAATCTGGTGTTAAGGCTTAAACCTATCTATTACCAAAGATATAATATTCTTTGGTATTACTATCTAAACAAAACTCTCAATCGCTATATGCTGAATATGCTTAATGAGCCAATTACACGCCTGTTGTGATCATTCGTCAGAATTATTCCAGCACTGTGTGGATTTTATATATATCTCAAAATATTGAGTTTATTGCCAATAAACTCAATATTGCCAACGCTTAAGAGACCAAGGTATTGGCAAAATTCATCTTTAAAACGAATATTCGATTATGGAACTGGTAAAATCATGATCAACTCTAAATGATTGACCTAGAGATAAATGGAGCCCATCCTTTCACAGTTTTATAAAAATATCCAATAACGATTTCAATTAATCCAACTGATTAAATGGACACACGAAATACAGATAAATAAAAACTCACTGCTTTGTTGAGTATGTACCATATCCATTATGTCCTCCAAAAATGATGTCAAACCTGCACCCACATATAGAAATCCTCCCAGAACCGCAAACGGGCTTTCGCACCAACCGCGTACCGTTGATTCCATATTCTCCATCCGCCAACTACAGGATTTTTCTCTTTTACTTTTGTCAAAGAGCAGCAGAGTAAACTTTATTTGCATTTTTTGCATTTAGTTGCATTCATCGACCTAACAAAAGCCTTCGACTCTGTAAACAGAGATGCACTTTGGGCATTAATGCAAAAGTTCGGAGTACCCAACAAATTTCTTCTTCGATACGTTCTTCACAAATACAGGTGTTAGGCAGGGATGTGTGCTTAGCGCCTCTCCTATTCAACATATTCATGGCAGCGTTCTCTATTATAGTGGACAACAAACTGCAACAGGAAGGAGGAATGGGAATTAGATACAGATACTATGGCTGTCTGTACAACATAAAAAGACTTATAAAAGACAAAAACACGTCTAAAATTCATCACAGAAAAACGGCGTCAGTGATTGCTATGAAATGAAGATCGCTGTCATTTTATATGCAAAATGATATGGGGAATATCATCGATCACATAATCTCCAACATGTTATATGGAAGCAAAACCTTGGTGCCGTACCGCCGACACATGAACGTATTAAACCAGTTGCAACAGAGACATCATAGAGAACTGTTAAGAATCAAATGGTTCCACCATGTCTCAAACGTATTGGTCCTTGAAAATGATTGATGATGACTAAATCCCGCTTAAGGATAGGTTGATCACGTATGCAGGATGCAAGAAAACCGCCTACCAAAATATCTACTTTACTGCGAGCTTGTAGACGATACGTGGAAACCGGGTGGCCAACTCAAAAGGTATAAAGATATTAACGAATAAAGAATAATAACGAAAACTTAAAGGATATAAGTATTATAAGTATTTAATAACGAAAACTTAAAGGAATCAGTGGGAGGGAGCAGCGCATAATAGAATGGAGAAGAATTATAAACTCAGTTAACAACGACAACCAAAGAGTAACAAGTCAAAAAAGTAATGAGATTTTTGAATGTCCGAAGTGCGGAAGGGAGATAACAACACGTATATCAGTCACAGAAAAGCTCATGAAAAAAAAAGCCTTGCATAACTATCTTTTGATGCGTGTCAAATACTCGTCAGCGAGTAATTTCAGTAAGTGTCCACCAGAGGAACTTTGTTTATAACAACATAAAGAAAACATCGAAACTCTTTGATCTTTTTGACACAAAATCTCCACAATGTTCCCCATTTTCGTAACTCCAGTTTCTGTTTGGTTGAAAACGATAAAATCTTTGTTCCGTGGCGGTTTATTATTTTTAATTCTTCGAACTAAGGAGAATAATATAATATAATATAAGTGTGGATATAAATATTTGGTTGATGCTTAATTGGAATTTAAGCTGGAACTAAGAAACCATTTGGTCACTATTTCCTTTTGATGTAGACAATTGTATCGGCGTATCCCGCACCGGGGATTCCAACATCTTGCAGCATCGGCGGCGATCCGCGGCAGGCAAATAAGGCTCCGGCCGCGGCATCCATTGTGGCGGTCGCGATCCTTTGATCGGCCGCCCGTCGGCTCTCTTATCTGCAATTGCTACCGTTTATCCCATGCGATGTTTAGCATTTTTTCGTTTTCTGTCGCTTTTTTCCTTTGATAGTCGCGCTCGGTCGATCCTCAGTCCAACAGTCGTCGTTTTTTTCTTCTGCCGCTTCTTCGCTTCTTTCTTTAGTTTGGCCCTTTTTAGGTCGGTTTTTCTCTTTGTGCGTTTCGGTCGTAGATCGATTTATGGATGTTTCATCGATGAATTGACTGGACATTACGTTTTGGCCTGATTAATTAATCAATGGATTCGGTGGATATGGCTGTTATTGTTGTTATCATAGAGACTTTCATTGAATCTTAATTTATTTCTTAAATCCGTTAAATGCTGAAAATGATTACCACAACTTTTTATTAATAAATAAAGTGAAAATTCAAACTACTTAGTTTAGATCAGATAGATAATTTTGTGTTATCGTTAAATCAATTAGTTGATTTAAAACTACATATTTTTTATACTAATGACAAATGACAGTATAAATATATTTAATAATGTCTATACTTGTGTGGCGGATTCATTTCTTCAAAAAAGCCTTATGGGGATTTTGCCACTGTAAGAAAATCTATAAAATAAAATAGTTATTTTTTGTAAACATCGCTGAGCTAATCTAACGGAGTCCATTTTGTCAGCGGTATTTTACTAATAAAACAAATTTGCCTAACATACAAAAAATGCTTAACGTTTCAGGCGGTATCAGAAATATTATGCCTAACAGCAAAAAAAAAAGACAATGCGCAAAGAAAAACTATATAAAATATCTAAATACAACTATTCAAAAACACTTTAGTTTTACTTTAGTTTTTTTTTTCAACGGAAAGTTGAAAAAATCGTTGACATGGTAAATGGTATCTGGTAAAATGACATTATATCAAGTTTAACTTCAACATTAACAATTACTATCTGATATAACCAAACCAAACCTCAAACTTTCTGTATATGATTATTTTTAGTTTGTTTTTAATTTTTAGTTATGTTTATATATGCTATTTATTAAAATCAAAGAGACGATTTCCATACATTACGATCCTCTACAGATGCCTGAGCAATATATTTATTTATATTGCACTGTATTAAAAAAGACTATTTTATTTTTCGTTTAGAGGCTCTAGGTTCTTTCATCAAAATTTTTGCATTATTAAAATCTCCTCTGTGCCCTGTGTCCCATGAATTCTGGCAAATCTTAGATTTGCAAAATCACCTTTTTTAATTAATTTTTATATTCTTCGTTTTAAATTCGAACATTTAATGGTCTAGATGTTTCACCGATACATGGTAATTATCACATTTACATGGTAATTTGTTATTACATATTATGTTTGTTCTTCAGCAGCAATAAGCCCTTATGGAGGCTCTCTAACATAACACGTTAAACATATTTCTGTCACTAGCATTAGTAACTGTTAAAATTTCCTTTTATTTCTTTATGCTAATGAAAATGTTGGCATGTTGGATATGGAATTAACCTGTTTATTTGCGTCAACAAAAATCTGTCTGAAATAGGCAAATTCCTACTTTCTGCGAAACCTTTTACTGATTCAAGCTTATGCAGAAATCAAAGTAATTCCCGGTCTTCCAAGAACCCAGTTTCGTTTCTACAAAACCCGAGCTAATTGTCGCCTCGGGACGCAAACGATTGAATATAGTTAGTATAATCAACAGGAGGAATAAAACACAGACATAATTCAAAAGATATTAATGAAGAATTAGTGAAAAAAGGCGCCGATTTGAGAGGTACAGAAAATCGTTCAAACCACAGGCGTGCATAAATGCATAGGTACGATAATTTTTTTTGTTTATTTCATTTCGTACTTTACTCCTACACTCCTACGTGAAGCATGTGGCTCCATTAAATGCTCTGCAGCGGGTTCGGCTGTTTGAAGTTGATTTAACATCTCGTCATGACGAGAGGTTAACCGATCATGATCGATTTACTGTTTCCATCTCCTTTTTAATTGTTCTTTGCCATATATGTCTTGGACAAGCAGTTCTACTGCCTCGTGGATTCCACTCAATAACTCTGTCTTGTCTAATTTCTGATAGTGCTTGGTCAGAATATTCCTACAATTTTTGTCAGATAGCGGTTTATGAATACTGGAGTTTGTTAATTCATGGTGGTGTAATTTTTCAGGTCTCTGCACTATACAGCAATATTGATATTTGAATTGAATATTTTAAATTTGGTTTAAATTTAAGTTGAGAGTACCGTCTAGATCTCAAATATTGTTGAGCTTTCTAAATGTTATTCTAGCCTTGTTTATTCTGTTTATGATATACAGGTTGTTAATTTGTTTATTAATCGCGGCAAGCTTTATGGTTGAAATATGGCAACCTCGGCCCGCTCGTCGATGGATGACGCGACGGGACGAGTCGGCAGAAAACCCTATAAGTGCATGCGTTCTCAATAGGCAGTGTTGCCATTCTGTTCCCCTATAAGTAACTGTCCAGTTAACAATCTGTATATTGTTCTGTTCCTCCGTTAGTTGAGATTATACTAACCAAGTA